ACAGGGCAGTTTGCAAGGTGGAGGGGACATGCCACTGCGGCCCAAGGTGCCACCCATCAGGACACGGCTCATCTCCTCTGTGGAGCAGGGGACCACCTCTACATAGCGTTCCTTCATCACCTTCTTGTGGCAACGCTGAGCAGCAGCTAGGGCCCGCTCTGCTGACATCATCTGAATGAAGGCATCACCAGATGGCCGGCCCTGTACACACCATCTTATAAGCAGTCTGTCTTTTGCAAGAGTGCCTTACCCCTAAAACTCTTCCTACCTGTAAACACAAGTTTTCCCCCTCCCAGCAGCAGTCTCACCTGCTGGTTGAGTACCATGTGCACACCATGGGGCCGGATGTCAGCTGCTGCCTCCCCCAGAAAGCTCAGAATATCTTCAATGGTGGCCGTGTAGGGTAGGCCTCGAAGGCGTACACAATCCCTCCCAGGCCCAGCTGCCAGTGGGAATGGGATGGGTAGCAGTGGAGCAGTCAATGTGGGAAGGAGTGGGCTAGATGCATAGCGGTTCAGAACCTAGTAGGAAGACAACAGGCTTATCAACCAAGTAGGGCAGGGGCACAGAGGAGTAAAGGTGCATCCTGGGGAAGGAGCACATTGTGGGGTGAGGATCCCTGAGTACTCACCTGCTGCACTTCAGCTGCAGTGCTCCTGAAGAGTTCAATATAGCGCTTACCAAGCATGCCCTTGTGCCTGCGCAGTGCAGTCTGTGCCAGCTCCTCACAAGCAAAGAGGGCAAAGGCATCACCAGTTGGTCTCCCATCAGGATGGCGTACAAAGAGCAATCCATCAGCTCCCCCAGTCACTGGGCACTCTGGCCCCAGGAAACCTAGTACATCTGTTGGCCCAGCTGAGAAGGGCAGTCCTCGAAGCCTCAGAATCACTTGGTCTTCCCGTGAAAGGAAACGAGCCACCTCTAATGATGTGCCTGGGTTGGGGCACAGGAGTCAACTTGTGAGTCACCTATCTTCGTTCTTGTACTTCCAAACATCCAAACATACAGGGGAGCAGAGAGGTAAGAGGTAGTGGTGCGTGGGATACAGGTCAAGAAGCAGGGGAGCTAGGCCCTGCGGAGGGTACACTTACCCCCTGCAATCTTCACAAACTCCTCCCCTGATGCTTTATATACCTGTGGATACAAAGGGAACAGCCCATGGGTCTCCAGCCTGATTCAGCTTTACCCTGCTTCACTCCCGGCCCAAAGCCCCACCTCAATATAACGGATGCCCATGTGGTGCTTGTGTCTCTGCAGTGCTAGGTCCCGCTGCTCGCTGTCCACAAAACGGATGAGGGCCTCACCATTTCTGCGGCCCTGGGCGTTGAGGCAGAGTGCTACACCACCCCTGTGGAGCCAGCACTGTTAGTGCCTCCTGGGTAGGCCTGCCCTCTGGGCCCTCCCATCCTGCCACACCTACCTGGCAATGTTGAGCCCTTTGAAGAAGCGAGCCACATCCTGGTCTGATGACTGCCAGGGCAATCCACGGGCACGTACCACAGTCTCACTGTCCACCACATCAGCCTTGCTGCTATGGGGGCAGGGCACAAAGTCAGGGGTGTCCAATTGTTGTCACCCCACCCCTACTCCCATACTCACCAAGGCCCCGTCTCATACTTCTGCTTTACCACCTGGGGCTTTGAAAACAATTGACCTGAGAAGAGATGACATGGGGGTCAGCAGAGTATGGTGGAGGGGGTCTCCCCACAAAGCTCTACAAAAAGAGGACAGTTGAGGGGGCTGACTGAGGAACTGACAATGGGGTTTGTATTCTCTCAGAGGAGGTCACAAGTGAGCAAGAGGACTTTGAGGAATAGGCATTTACCAACCTTGACAGAAAGTAACAGGATGAGGGAACCTTACCACTGGGCCTTTCAAGCAGGTGGAGGATGATGGCCACCATTGTCTTTACTTCCCAGACCCCAAAGTCGTCCTCTGTGGCATCTGTCTCTAGTCCCAAATCTATGGATAGAGAAGTGACAATAAAGAAATCCCAGCACAAGAGGCCATGGGGCACCCAGCATGAGCACTAATCATGTTCACACCTAGGCCCAAGTCCCCTCCAGATACATGCAAAATCTCAAACACACTGGTTTGACCCAGTTCATGTGTCACCAGCCCAAATGCAGGTCCCCAGCCCAGATGCAGGTAGATGTGCTCATATCCCAAATGTCTACCAACATAGACAAAGAAATAGTTACCCTCAAAGACTCCAGATAATGCAGACTTGCCTGTGTTCACAATACCCACCAGCAGCATGCACATGCTTAGAAACATAAAAAAGCCTGTAGATGTCCCTCCACTTTAACCCTGTTGGGTCACAGATACCCTGTGCCATGGTGGCCACTGTGAGGTCCCTGGCAGAGCAGGCAGTTGGGTGCTGCATGTGGAACTCTCTGCGGAGGTCGTAGAAGGAGAAGAAAGTGTCGGGGAGCACCAGGTTCTGGGGGCACATGGGAGAGGAGATGAATGAGGAAACTGAGTTGTGTTGCCCACCCCCATGACAACAAGGGTCTTGGGAACCCTACCACATATTGTGCCTTAAGTGGCATACCTTCCTTGAGGCCTCAGGGTGCAGAACCTGTCGCAACAGCTGCTGCCCATCAGTGCAGAGCACATAAGGGTCCCCACCCAGAAGAGCCACATCCCTGTTCACCAGCTGTAAGAACTGGGGATAGGGAGTGAGGAGAGATTCAGTTAAGACACACACATAGACACAGCTAGGTAGGCAGGAATTAGGGCTAGGAGGAGGGAGGGCACAGGTTGCAAAGCTGGTTCAGCCAGATGTTCAGCCCTACCCTGCCCAGGGAGGAGGAGGCCACACCTGCGAGGCCTGTCTCTTGTGTCCCAGCCCCCTCCCCAAAACCCTGTCCCAGTCCCAGTCCACTGTCGCCTCCTCCAGGCCAAATAAGGGCAGTCACATAACCCAAGCCCCCATCACACACACTCCAGAAGTCTGGAGAGGGGCCAGAGCAAACACTTGGTGGGACAAGCAGTGGAAGGGGAGGAGCAAAGCAGGTTAAACCTGTCCCTGAATAGGCACCACCCTCAGGCAGGTGGGGGAAGGCCCAGGCCTGCCAGAAGGCCAGAAAGCTCATGGTCAATGGCAGCCCCGCCTCCAGATCTAACCAACCAGAGGAACAGAGAAACTCCAAGGACAGAGCTCCACACTTGAACACCAGGGGCAGCATGAGCTTTGACCCACACCCTATTGACCAGCTGGCACCAAGTGTTTGCTCACAGAGGAGGTGCACTCAGGAGGCTGCCCAGCCCCTCCCCCTGGCTCCATCCCTGCTAGAGAACTGGTATAAGCACTAATCACCAATTCACAAACCCTCATCCCACCCCCATCCCTGCCCCTGCCAATTCTGTGACACCTTACAACCTGAGGCTAGCAGAGCAAAGAACCCAGCTTTTCCCTGGCACCTCCCTCAGGTGAGGGATAGGCCAGGAACTTTTTTGGAACAGACTCAGAATCTTTGTGCTTCCTCATCAAAAAAGATGAAAGAGTGTGCGTGTAAAGGTACTTACGCTCTATACTCAAGAGTCAGTCACAGAATGGCATAGCAGTAAAGAGAACAGCAACACCTCCCTCTTTAGCCAGGCTCAGGAGGCACTCAGCAGGCAGGCTGCCCCCAGACAGGGTAAGGACAGCGCCCACGCCTGGCCAGCCGACCAGGACAGGCCTGGACTAGCACCTTACACCTGGCGGCGTCTGCCCTAGAGGCAGACACCGCCCCTACGCCCCCGCTCCAGCAGCCACCGGGGGGGCGGGCAGAGGACGAGAGCCGTAGAGCCGGGCGACCTATGGCCAAATCAGGGCCCCTCGACTCTTTCGATTCTGGCTGCTGGCTCTGGAAGACCTGACCCGGCAGGTTTAGAGACGTCTCAGCCTCCTCCCCTGCTGGTCAACGACTCGGAATGGATCTGGCAGCCGCCATCCCCTGCCCCCGCCCTAAAGCAGGAGTGGATGCCCGCAAAGGTTGAAAAGCAAGGCCAGGCCACCAGCAACACATACACACGTACACGTGGGAGTAGCTCAAAGTTTCAAAGAACAAGACCCTCTCCTACCACCCGGCCAATTGGTCGCGGTGCGCCAGGCCTTGCCTCCTGCCGCTCTCTCGCGGCTCTCTCTTACATCCCCACGGCCCGGGTGTATAGTCATCTTCGCCGGCTCCGGCGCTCACCTGCTGCAGCACCTTGTCCAGTGACTCGGCCCGCGCCAGGCTGTCCGCGCTCAGCCCGCTCGCCTCGCGGCACTGTGGACTCAGTGCAGTTGCCTCGGCTCGAATCAAAGACTTGTGTAGCGTCCCAACCTGCGACAGGCGGGGTAGTCCAATCACCCGTCGCGCTCCGTGGGCCCTGAAGTTTCCTGGCGCCCCTCGCCACCTCGTTTCCACCCTACCTGACGGCTCCGCGGCTCCACCACTTGCCATACTATAAGGATTAAGTCGGTCTCATCAGAGCCCAAGTCCGGCCCCAGCGCACCCGCAGTGGCCCCAAACAGCACGACCAGTGATCCGGACCCGGAACTGGGGTTTTCTGCGGAGTCTACTGCGGGGTCTGGGCCAGGCGACAGGGGCGGGGGTGGCGGCGGCGGCGGCGGCGGCGGCGGAGTCATGGCCGCAAAGCAAGGGGGCGCCCGGCCACACACACGCGGACCAACGAGGCGCACGTACGCACCGTCGGAAGACCGACGCGGTTGAGCTTGGGCGGGACACCTTGTGTTGGGGGCGGCACCTGCGGCACCTCTGGCGCGGTGGGCGCGCCGAGATCTGCCCGCGGCGCCCCGCAGGGCGGGGCGGCTACCGGCCTCCGCCCTCTCCCTGTGTTACCTGCCGGCCTGGCGGACCACGTGACCCGGGGCGGCCCCTGAAATCTTGGGGGAGGGCCAGAACTCAGCCCAGAACGCTGGAACTCACACTCCCTACGAGGGGACGCGCTCAGGATCCGGACTCCTACTTCCCGGTCCGGTCCTGCCCAACTGTGGTGAACCCAGTTTTTTTTTTTTTTTTTTTTTTTTTTTTTTATTGTTGGTTGTTCAAATGAACCCAGTTTTTCTCCTTTCGCCCGGACCTTAAGACCTTCGCAAAAGAACGTGCAAGACCTGAGGCCTCTTCCGGTCCATGAAGGTCACGCCGGACTTGTGGAAGTCACCAGCAGTCCAGGGGCTGTGGGGGTCACGACGGCCGGCCGGGGTTTATGGAAGAAATCACCAAGGGTCAGAGGGGGCGGTGAGAATTACCACGTATCACTTGGAGGCTTCCGGGAGAGATCACTAGAGAATGGAGATGGCGAGGGCGGCAGAGATGAGGAGTCCTTAGAGCTATGGGCGGTCAACCCAGATCACAGCAAAGGATCTGTCCACATAGGTGCCAGGGCCGGCCTTAACACTGGGGTATGAGGAATCTCTTTTCCCCCAAACCCCGAGAGCTGCACCTTAGATGAGGCTGAGCCGAATGATCCAGACCTGGGGCTTCAGTGCTACCTCATGTAGGGGCGCCTGCCTGTTTTCGTCGCTTCGTTGGGCGACTGTCTGATTGCCTGGAGATTATGAGTGTGCTGGCGGTAGGAGCTAGCGGTGATGTGTACGTGCGCAAGCGAACTTCTGACTCCATCCCTTGTCCATTGGGGGCCAACAATCCTATTCTAAATAGTCCCTTTCGCCCCCTCGAGGCTCGGTGAAACTTGACAGCGCGTTTTCAGACCGCCCTGTACTTCCCTAAATTCTCCCGTTAGGTGACTGAGAAATTTGTAATCCGGCGCGTAGGGCTCCAGCCTGGAAGGAGCAGAGACGTGAAATTGCCAAACCCAACCCGCGTCCAAAGCTGGAGCCGCTCCTCCTGCTGTCAGAAAAGTGGGTCCCTGCGTCTGGGACAGTGAAAAAGAGAGCGCAAGACCCGGGCACATCCCCAGCTCATGCCCAGGGAAGGGACGCAGCCCAAGAAGAGAGGGGAGACGAGGTTGGCGGAGATGCCTTCCAGGCCATGCCACACTACAACTTGTCCCCACTTGGCAAATGAAGAGACTGAGGCTTCTGGGCCGGATGTGACTCGCGCCGGAACCCAGCTACCCGGACGGAGTGGTAGGTGGACCTGGGACAACTAGAACGTTCCCCAAGGATTGCAGTGGTGCATAGCAACCCTTCTCCAGACCGCCCATCCAAGCGAGTGCCCGCTGTCCCTACCCCAGGGAAAAAAAGAGAATCGTGCACTGAGAGAGGGGAGAATGTAGCTCCTCAGGCCCCACCCCCAAGTTTGGAATTTCAAATATTTATTCGTGGGGCTGGACGGAACTGCGAGATAGGCCCCTCCTTTTCCCCCCCATCCTTTGTCAGGAGTCCCGCCCTCTGGGCTGTGCCCTTCCAGCCACCTCCCCTTTACCTGTGCAGCCCTACCTTTCCGGATCCGTTTCCAAAACTACCTTGGCGTTTGCATCTGGCCTTCCCCGCCTCCTGTCTGGCACCGTTTCCTACTGAACAGTCCCGGCGTCCCTGCAGGGCTTTCCCAGAGCCGCTTGTCACTGTTGCCCCTTCTTCAACCCCATTCGTTTAACCTCCAAACTATGTGCCCAACTCCTCCAAAAGTCTCCCTGTCGAGGTGACCAGTTCGTTGTGGCATCCTTGGTGATCCTGAACCCATTCCCACTAGAGAGGCGCTCATGTTCGCTACCCAGGGTCTCCACTGGGTAGCGAACCCCAAGTCCCAAGTTGGCAGTACAGGGAGGCTCCTCCAAACCCCCACCCGCCCACCCAGCTGTTTACACCCCAAGACTATTCGTGACCCTTGGACTCTTCTTGAAAAACCAAATTCGTCCAAATAACATGGGGTCCTTGTTTTGCTGAACTCCCTTATCTGCATGTGCTTCCTCCTAGATCACCCCCTTTTTATTAAGCAATTTGTGCTTCCCCCTCACATAACCAACTTGTAATATGATTTATTAATCATTTATTGTCTCCCCACCACCCTACCCAACATCCTATCCTCGAGGACACAGGCTTTTTCCTCACATACATCTGAGGCCGGCACTGACTGAATGAATTGTCCTGGAGATTGTTTCTTTTGTCTTGGAATATTCCAGCAACGGTAAACTTCTAGGACCACAAGGCCTTTGCAGTAGGATATTCTATGTCTTTACCCTCCTTCCCAGACCACTCCTGCTTTTCCTCCTCATTTCTGCCCCTTAAGGTAGCTCCCTTCATAGCTGGGGTCCATTCTACAATTTGAAATATCCTCCTACCCCAAACTGTTCCTTGCTTTCTGCTTCTAGGATTCATGAATCATGAATGAATGGATGAATGGGAAATAGGTACTGACAGAGGGCTAAGAAAGGCCCCAATGGCCCAGCTCAACTAAGGCCAGAGGTCTTTCCTAAGCTGCCCTTGGAAATCTCTTAGCTGGGAGTCCTAAAGGCAGCCGGAGCGCCAATCGCGGGTTAATGAAGGCCTGGGCAGATACAGGGTGAGGGCTCTCGCAAGGAGAGAGTGACAGCTTTCTCCTAAGTAGTGAAAAAGCATCCTCTCGGGACTTTCCCTTCCTAACCAGAAAAGGTCCCTCTGTGGAACAAGATTCAACGCTGGAGACCACCACAAGGATTCACAGTCGTTGGCTCATACCTGTCGCGGCCCTCAGTGAACCAAAGCTAACCCCACTGCTAAGGGTCCTGATCTCCAAGGCCAACAGAGTAGCTAGCGCTCTGGGCTCCTCCGCGGTTCCCATCCCAGCATCTTTGCAGAATTGCGTCTGAGTTCCCACCAGAGGGCGCGCTGACTCTGTAGTCAGAACCCAATGGTGAGGATCAGAGGGCAGGAACGTGCTCCTGCGGGAATGAGGCTAAAATGCAGATGCCCTGGACTCCGCTTTCTAGGCCGCTTCTGTCTGGCTTGGAATCTTGTAGCTCCTGGATCCTTGCACATTGGCCGAGTCTTAAAGCTTGTTTTTCAGGGTCCTCAATCTTTACTTCACTCTGCCCTAGTCTGTACCCCAGACACATTGTGATTCTTTGGATCCATGGGCTGCTGAAGCAGTCACCTACCTACATATCTCTTTACTGATCTGGGAAACTACTTATCTTTCAAGACCCATCTCTAATGATTCTTACTCTGAACAACCTTCCTTGATGCCTAGACCAAGTTAGATGATCTGGTCTAGGCCTCTTGTCTCCAGGATTCTGTGTTGAATTACTAATTTGATCAGTTTGGCCTCTACTTCAGGGAGGCTCTGGCAGGAAGGAATAGGGGTCTGCTGAGGGAGAATCACTTGGCCTCCAATGGGCTCAGCTGTGATCACCAAATCAGTTTAGAGGCCTTGGTTGGGGTTTGGTTGACCCAAGCTCAGCACCCACCTGGTCTATGGTTCCATGCTCCCCTCGCATGGAACATGGGATAGTGAGAGGAAATGCAAGGTCCAGTAGCAGCAGAGGCTGTATTCTCACACATTACAACTGGCCCGGCTCTTCAGTCTCTGAGTTTATTCCCACTACTGGTCTTTACTCAATGTATTCCCCTCTTCAAACACACCCTCCTTCTTTCCCAATCTTTTCCAGAATTCGCATCCAGCACTGCTGACCATTCAGTCCTTTATCTCCACCTCCAAGTCTGACAAGCACCAGGGTCCTGTCATGGAAGAGGGATGTTGTGGAGAAGGATGAATACATTCCTTCAACATGTATTAATCATCTGCTGTGTACCAGAAACTGTGCCGGGTAGTAACTAGTAACCAAGGATATGATAGAAAAAAGACAGGTGAAGGAGTCGTGGCTCAGTGGTAGAGCACTTTCCTGGCATATGTAAGGCACAGGGTTTGATTCTCAGAACCGCATACAAATAAATAAAGATCCATTGACAACTAAAAAAAAAAGGTGAAGAGCTTGCTCTTGCAGCCATTGTAGTATAATAGGAGCCAGGCGAGGGATGCTTCAATTCCAGTGGTCATTTACGAGCTGAGGCCTGAATGTAGACTCCCCCAAACTGGGGAATGCAGGGTAGTCTCACTGTAGCAAGTGCAGAAATCCTGAGGAACGGGACTTTATATCCTGTTCTAGGCAGAGGTTATCCTGTTCTAGGCAACAATAAAGCCATTAAGGCTAAAAACAAGCCAACTGGAGAGAAGGGAAAGTGAAGTTGTGGAAACAGAGCCAGACCTCATTCACTGTGAGTGAAAAGCATACCATGGGAGTTCTGTAGGTGGGCTTAGGAGGAGAGTGATGGGACTTGACATAATTTTGGGGGGGGGGGAGTACTGGAGATTGAATCTAAAGGCATTTTACCACTGAGTTTCATTCTCAGCCCTTTTTTTTTTAAATTTTCTTTTTCTTTTTTTTTTGTAGTTGTAGATGGACAGCATGCTTTTATTTTATTTGTTTATTTTTATGTGGTGCTGAGGATTGAACCCAGTGCCTCACATGTACTAGGCAAGTGCTCTGCCATTGAGCTACAGCCCCAGCCCCCACCCCAACCCTTTCTAAAATTTTGTAAAAATATTTTTTTAGTTGTAGATGGACATAATCTTATTTATTTATTTGTTGTAGTTGGACACAATACCTTTATTTTAATGTGGTGCTGAGTATTGAACCCAGGGCCTTGCGTATGCTAGGCGAGTGCTCTAACGCTGAGCCACAACCCCAGCCCATAATCTTTATTTTATTTTATTTATTTTTATGTGGTGCTGAGAATCAAACCCAGTGCCTCATACATGCAAGGCAAGCGCTCTACTGCTGAGCTACTACTCCAGCCCCCGCTTTGTAAAATTTTGAGACAGGTCTCACTAAGTTGCTTAGGGCCTCCTTAAGTTACTGAGGGTTGCTTTGAATTTTTTTTTAAATATTGTTTTAGTTGTAGACAGACATGATGCCTTTATTTATTTATCTGTGTGTGGTGCTTAGGATTGAACCCAGGGCTTCACACACGCAAGGCGAGTGCTCTACCACTGAGCCACAACCTCAGCCCGGTGGCTTTGAATTTTGCATCCTCCTGCCCCAGCCTTCTGAGTAGCCGGGATTACAGGCATTTGTTACTGTGCCTTTGCAATGACTTAATGTTTAATGATGTCAGTCTGGCATGTGGAAAGCAGCCCACAGGAATAAGGGCATAAATTGGGACACCAGTGAAGAGGCTACTGTGGGGATGAAGGCAAGGCAGTTTAGCATTGGGATGGGTAGAGCTGGCAAGACTTAGTGATCATCCAGTTTGTGGGATGAGAAGCAGGGTGGCATCCAGAGTCCAGGATGACCCTAGGTCTGTAGACAGGGGGAATGGGTAGATGGTAGGCTCATTGAGTAAAAGTGGGGACCCTCACCTTCTGACCCTTCTCCACAGTGCCAGCAAGGGTCATTGCTGACCGGGCATTGCCATCCCTCATCCAATAGTCACGGTTCCTAATATCTGAATTGCTTGTGGGAGTGGGCTATCAGTGAACTCCTGAGAACAGGGCAACCCTTCCAGGGCCCATGGTCACCTGAGGCTGCTGGCCTGTTAAGAAGTTTAGTGTGGCCAGAGTCCAAGTCTACCCAGGTCCTTTGATCCCTTCTCTCTATCATGTAACTCTTGGCTCTGGGCTTCTGACTTTCCCTAATCCTGGCAGAAGGGTCTCTATGGTCTCCCATAGTAGGCCTTCAAGAGCAGTCTTCAGTGATCTTCTATTGGTGCCAGAGGTGAAGGAAGGGGAGGCAGGGCTTGAGGTAGGGAATATTTGGACATCAGGAGAGGAGGTTACCCTAATGACTAAGTTTCAGTTTCAGCATATGAACCCAGGGGCAGGCCAAGATAGAGATCATCTTTAACACAGGGTCAGCTGCTTACCAAGAAGAGGGAAGTGGTTAGACAGAGGTCCTAGGACCAGACAGGGATGAACAGGGTGTAGCTGGCCCCAGGGAAGGGATGTGTGGAAGACCATGACTTCCATTCCCCAAACATACTGGTCTCTTTATCCCAGAATGAGGCATGGGTGTTGATATCCAAGCTGCTGTCCAGTTCTCGTCCACATTGTTTGCCCCAGATTCTTGGCGTAGGGAGTCTGTGTCCTCTCTGGATCCCTAGGTTTGCTTGGAGTGGAGTAGGAGGCAACACAAGCTCCTAATGCCCCTTCCACTCTTCAGGGTCCAGGCTCAAGCCCATTCCCATCCCGAACTGCCTCATCTGGTTGAGTACCCCAGGCTCCACTTCCCAAAACGCTTACGCTGAGCCACAACCTAACTAGTATCCATAACCACAAGGTCAGGACATAGGTAGAGGGTCCTTGAGCCCGGTGACTAAACTTACCCTCAGGGCAAGTTGGGAAGAGCTGGTGTGGGGATTGGGCAAAGGTCCAGGTTAACTGCTGGTAACCTAAGGCCCAAGAACTGCCCTTGGCTCACTTCCCCTCTTCTTGCTTTGCCAGGGGTAGTTAAGCCACTATGATGAGCTCGGACCCGGTATCCCTCTAGTAGTCAGGTGGGTTTCCTATCCTCGAGGTTTGGGAGGCTCCAGGATCTGGAATGAGGGCTGCGCAGCGTGGACCTCCGATGGGTACGCACCGGGTGAGTTGGGTCAGCCAGGGAGATTGAGAGCCGGGAGCCCAGCGGCGCCTAGAAGGGCTGATCGATGCTCTCGGCACGCAGCGCGGTGGAGAGAGCCAACCCCTGGGTGGACAAGGGCGGAGCTGCGAGCTAGGGAGGGAGGGACGCGTCTGATGGCGAGTCGCTATTGGCAGGCTTTTTGCAGGAGGTGCCGCGGGCGGCGGGGTTAAGCTCTTAGCCACCGCCCCGGCCTAGGCACGAGCTCGGAACACTGAACCAGCACCTCGGACCTGCAGTCCACCGCCGCACGCCATGGACCTACGCCTCTGTCCCTGCCGCAAGGCCCTGCTCCCGAGTGGCCTCCTGTTTGAACTGCTGCTGCTGCTGCTGCTCGCGGACCCGGCGCTCCAGGCCCAACGTCACCCCCCAGTGGTGCTGGGTGAGGCGTGCGTCTGGTGGTGGGTCGGTCCAACTGGCCTGGGAGAAATAGGGCCTCTCTCCGGTCTGCAGCTAATAGTGAAATGGGGGATCGTCTTGGTATCAGTCTTGTCACCTGGGTCTGCCAGTCCACCACCCGCCATTCTGGGCAAGGGTGTGGTCAGCCTCTTACCATCTGCCCCTGGTTAAAAAAAAAAAAAAATGGGAGTGAGTGGGAGTGATACCACCCGGTTGTCCACTCTATCAGCAGTCCCACAGCAGTGCCAAGTTTTGCTTCGCCCTATCCCTATTTTGTAGCTGGAAAGAGGCCGTTGGGCTCCATTCCTGGGGCTGGTGGGGGTGGGCAGGGTTGCCTCAGAGTTGGCCTCTCATTGGCCTTGGTCTGAACTAAATGTTACTTTTAACCCCTCAAGTAGTCTGGTACGTTCCATGTTTCAAAGGGCACTGCTGGAAGCAAGGTATTTGGGGAAAAGATTGCTATTCTAGCTGGTCACCAAGCTCATTTTCCCTCACCCTCAACTTATCAAATGGATGGCAATGAGCTGAGGGAGGAAGGCCTCAGGGAAACAGGATTACTGAAGACAGGGGAAAGGGTTGGGACAATAGTTATGGACAGGTGTCAGGGAACAAGCATGTACACTCACCTCTTCTAAACCCAGTTAGACCAGGCTGTTGGGACTGAGTGACTTCCTTGATCACTCCCTCCTTGGTTTGAGGCCTGGCAACTACACAGGAACCAGTGTTTCCTTGTGTTGGTGGGCCAGGATCAGACCTCTCACTGGAGAGCCTTAGGTGCCTCCTTCAGCCCATATTTCCCATTTAGAGATGGTGTGTCAGTGGCCTGCCCAGGACTCCAGGGAGCAGAGGCACACTGAGGCATACCTTACATACTGTGTCTGCTGCAGCCACCCCTCCTTTGCCCACCCATGCTTTTCTTTTCTTTTAATTCATTTTTTTAGTTTTCGGTGGACATAACATCTTTGTTTGTATGTGGTGCTGAGGATCGAACCCGGGCCACACGCATGCCAGGCGAGCGCGCTACCGCTTGAGCCACATCCCCAGCCCCCCACCCATGCTTTTCTACTGGGGATATTTTAGTGGGGATGATGCAGACCACAGAAGAGTAGAGTAGATAGGCAGCATGGTTTCAGGAGGCCCCAGTAGAAGTTCCAGGTCAAGAAATGCTCAGTCAGGTGTGGTGGAGCAAGCTTGTAATCACAGCAGCTCGGGAGGCTGAGGCAGGAGGATTGCAAGTTCAAAGCCAGCCTCAGGAAAAGCGAGGTGCTAAGCAACTCAGTGAGACCCTGTCTCTAAATAAAATACATATAAGGGCTGGGGATGTGGCTCAGTGATCGAGTCCCCCTGAGTTCAATCTGCCGTACCAAAAAAGAAAAAAAGGAAAGAAAGAAATTCCCCAGGGGGATTCTGGGGCCCGGATACACCTTGGAATTCCTGCTGTCTTGATCCTTTCTCCCCAGCTTTCCAGAGTGGGACTAACAGTGACCCTCAGAGATGGAGTCTGCTGGGCAAGCCAACCTGGATGAGCAGGTGTCAGAGAAGGCTTCCTGGAGTATGATGGAGATCAAACAGGGAGATTCCTTCCAGGGAGAAGGAACTACAAATCAGGAGATAGGCAAACTCTGGGCTGGCTGGCTGGAATGTGTGATGGGGGAAGTGAATTGGGTAGGGCTCATGACTTGTTGGGTCATAGGGACTTTATCCTGGGGGTCACAAGAAGCCATGTGTGAGCTAGGGAGTTCTGAGCATGAGGGGTGTGGCATTGGGAAGTATGTGGTTAGCACACAGACTTTTTGCCTGAATTGGTACTAATTGTACTCATTAATTTGTCCAGTCCTTGCTTAAGTCAGCAAAGGAGCCTCCGATCTTAAAGGAGCCTAAGCAGATAGAATATTAACCTGCCCATTTTCTCAGGGAATTGGGATGATAGTGTTAACTCAGAGACCCCTTGGCAGGCAGTGGTGGAGTTGACCTTGAGGATGAATCTTCTAGGTGTGGATGCCGAATTGGTGGAAGAGATAGCAGAAGCCAGAGAAGTGGGAAGAAACTTTTTAGGCAAGTCATTCCCGCCTTTCTGTTTCCTTATCTGTTAGATGGGGATAAAGATAACCCCTCCCAAGGTTATTTGAGGCAAATAACCTTGTATGACTCTTATCCTAGTTCTGCGCTGGGGGTCTTAGGAAGCGGCCATTGCTATTTTTAGAGGCCTAATAGTCTGACCAGGGCAAAGGGTATCTGGGAAAAGCAGATCTGGTGACTTCCTCTTTCAGCCATTTCCCCCTTTGTTGGAGGCAGTAACCTGCCTAGTCCACAGGCATATTTTCTTCATACTGGAGACTCCTTGCCTTTTGCACCCACATCATTAAAGGAAGTGTCTTCTACCCTGAAAACACTGGAGTGGTGCACAGGGAGGACACACCCTGTGCTGGGCTGGGTTCAGTCAGTAAGCAGTGAATGTCTGGGGCACTGAATGCTGGCTGTTCATCAGTGGTCAAGGATCCTAAATTGAGCTGTGTTTGGGAAGTGTTGAGAGCATGGCATGTGGGGGCAGGTGTGGCCTGAAAAGGTCAATAGGAGTAAATAGACTATAAAGGGCATTGAATACTGGGCAGTAAAGCAATGGTGATAGGCTTAGGTGTCATAAAGGGTCCAGGGCTCTGAGTGGACTAAACAGGTTGCAGGGTTGTAGTCAAGTCATCTTTGGGATCTGGTCACACCCACACCTTACTAGGCTGTGACTGGAATTGTGTGCTATTTCAGGATAGCTGTCACCAGTGCCAGCTCCCAGCTTTGCTAGGGCTCTCCAGATGATCTACCCTCTGGAACTTTCTTGGACTTTGGCTTTTAGCAAGGCCTAGGGACCTTAGTAGTCCAGCAAGTACCACTAAGCTTCTCACAACTGTTTCTGTTGATGGCTTCCCTCCTACAACCGTACCTTAGACTGCCTTGTCTGGATTCAGTTCAGTTGCCCCTGTGCTATCTTGTTTCCCACTTCCTCTCTCAGGGAGAACAAGGCCGTCTCTGTGTGTGTGTGTGTGTGTGTGTCTTTTTTTTTTTTTTTTTTTTGTAGCCTGGGATGACTTAAATAGAAGTTTAGGCCTTAAGGATTTCTATCTAATGACAGGGCTGTAGTCTTGGCCAAATTAAAAAAAAAATTTAGTTTTAGATGGACACAATATTTTTATTTTACACTTATGTTGTGCTGAGGATTGAACCCAGTGCCTCATGCATGCTAGGTGAGCACTCTACCACTGAGCCACAATCCCAGCCCAAATTTTAGGGGTTTGAGAAAACTCAGAGGGGTCTCCAAGCTCCTTCTAGTCAGAGCTCTTATTTGGATCCATTAACTATAGAAGCAAGAAAAAAAGAAAAGAAACCCTGTATGTGCTTGTGGGGGATGGTTCAGGTTAAGATCTTATTTGTCAGATAAGGAAACTGAAGCTTAGCAGGGGGAAGTGACTTTGCCCTAAAGCCCCTTCCAATAATCTGAATGGCCTAGGAGGAAGTTCCAGTGAAGATTTATTTTATCTGGAGTTTGGGAGATTGTTAGGGGCCTCCCCACAAACATGTCAGGCCTCTCCCAAGTCCCCCACAGGGTATGTACCCATAGGCTTTGTATGTGCCCTACAACAGTAATAGCTGATCTGCATGAAGATGATACCCTGGCTTCTATGTCAAGGTCCCTGCTTTCTGACTTTCCTGCCCTGTGCTTTAATTTGCAGAGTGGAACTGCAGAGGTCTGCCATTATGTCCATGGCTCTGCAGAGAGGAGGCAGTCCTGCTGTAGACTTGAAGGTTCTTGGGGGTCTCCAGCTTGCCAGAGTTCACAGATGTCCTTTGTACCCCCACAGTGCCTGGTGATTTGGGTAACCAATTGGAAGCAAAGCTGGACAAGCCCTCGGTAGTGCACTACCTTTGTTCCAAGAGGACCGACAGCTACTTCACTCTCTGGCTGAACCTCGAACTGCTGCTGCCTGTCATCATTGACTGCTGGATTGACAATATCAGGTGGGGGCTGGGGCACACAGACAGGTACCACTCACCCGTGGGGCCCAGGAAGGCCTCCAGAGTCCATTTCCTTCTCATCTGTATCTCAGGAGACCTTGAGGTCAGTGACCTCTCCCTCCCTAGGCCCTCAATCTGTTCTGATCTGATCTGTCAGCCACCTCTGCACTCTGCTAGGAAGAACTCTCTTCCCCTTTCTGTTGCTCTTGTCCTTCCTCTCTCCAGTTTAGCCCTTAGCCTTCAGACCTTACACATAGTTTCTATGCCTCGTCCAGCCCCTATCTATGGCCCCACTGTTCCCTTTGTCTGGGTCTTGGTCACAACTGCCTCTGTAGCTGCTTGTTCTTCCTAGGATATGCTGTGTCTCCATGTCTTTGTACATGCTGTTTTTTCCACATGGAATTTACTTTCATGGAATTTATACTTTCATCTGATAAATTCTCTCTCATTTACCCTTGAAAACCTGACCATAGTTCCTTTATGAAATCTCTCCTGCCAATCCTTCCCCAGGCCGCATGAATGCTTCCTTTAACCATCAAGTGCCAAACTATGTTAAAAGGATGATTCCCCAAAATTAAATATAGGCACTGTACATTTTGTATACAGTCTTATGCCACATTCAATCCCAGACTGCATTTGTTTTTGTTTTTTTTTAACATTTATTTTTTAGTTTTTTGGCGGGCACAACATCTTTGTTTGTATGTGGTGCTGAGGATCGAACCCGGGTCGCACGCATGCCAGGCGAACACGCTACCGCTTGAGCCACATCCCCAGCGCCTCCAGACTGCATTTGTAATGGTGGTTTCATAAGATTATAATGGAGCTAAAAAAATACTGTCACCTAGTGATGTAACCATTTAACCTAATAATGAAATGTATTATGCATCTTTTATGGTGGTGCTGGTGTAAATAACCCAGTACATAATACTTTTTTTTGGGGGGTGGGGGTACTGGGGATTGAACTCAGGGGCACTGAACCACTGAGTCCCAGCCCTATTTTGTATCTCATTTAGAGACAGGGTCTCACCTCGCTTTTGCTGAGGCTGGCTTGAACTTGTGATCCTCCTGCCTCAGCTTCCTGAGTCACATAATACTTGATAATAATAGTAAACCAGGAGCTGGGGTTGTGGCTCAGGAATAGCGCTTGTCTAGCATGCGTAAAGCACTGGGTTTAATCCTCAGCACCACGTGAAAAAAAAAATAAATGTATTGTTTCCACCTACAACTAAAAATTTAAAAATATGAAAAAAAATAATAATAGTAAAAGTAAACCACTATATTACTGATTTATGTATTTACTTACACAATATTTTATTGTTATTTTAGAGTGTACTCATACTTATTAAAAGAAAGGGGGGGTTACTGCAAAATAATATGCCATGTTAATGTACTCTATGATGTTGCTTTAGTTAGTTTTTTTGTTGCTGTGACCAAAAGACCTGGAAAGAACAATTAGAGGAGGAAAAGTTTATTTTGGCGCTCAGTTTCAGAGGTCTCAGCTCATAGATAGCTGACTCCATTGCTCTTGGCCTGAGGTGAGGCAGAACATCATGGTGGAAGTGTGTGGTGGAAGAAAGTAGCGGGGAGTATGGCATCAGGAAGCAGAGATAGAGAGTGCTCTAGGGCTGGGGATGTGGTTCAAGTGGTAGTGAGCTCGCCTGGCATGCGTGCCGCCCGGGTTCGATCCTCAGCACCACATACAAAGATGTTGTGTCCGCCGAAAACTTAAAAAAAAAATAAATATTAAAAAAAAAAAAGAGAGAGAGAGAGAGTGCCCTACTTAGAAGAGACAAAATATATACCTGGCGGCTGGGATTCTATTTCAGTGGTAGAGCACTTGCCTAGCACGTATGAGACACTAGGTTCAATTCTCAGCATTACATAAAAAAATAAAGAAAGATATGTGTCCATCTACAACTAAAAAATTAAAAAAATATATATAATATATATATATATATATATGTGTATATATATATATATGTGTGTATATATATATATATATATATATATATATATATTAGGTTATGCTTATGGCCTAATCAGTTCACCTCTGAAATTTGTTGCATTGCCTCATACGTGAGCTTTCTAGGGATAACTCATATGTAATCATAACAGATCACACAATGAAATTGCCAAATGACCCATTTCTCACAATGTTTTGGTACTGGGCATTGATCCTCCTGCCTCAGCCTCTCAAGTCACTGGTTTACAGGTGAGTAACACCACACTAAGTGAACGAGTGCTGTTTTTAAACTTGCTTTCCAGGGACTGGAGGTTTGGCTACTAAGTGTTTCCCTGACCTGTACAAGGTCCTGGGTTCCATCCTCAACACCTCAAAACAAGACTAAGATTTTCTTAGTTCTGGACTAAGGAAATCTGGAAACTCAAAAAAGTTACAAAATTGACTACTCAGCTAATAAGTGGCAAAATCAGAATTCAAACTCAGAAATTGTGTGACTCCAGGTTAATGTTCCCTCCCACACTGACTTCCCTGAGGGCAGGGATTATAACTGTCTTTATAGCAGTAGAAGCAAGAACACTGATGCTCAATAAACTTTCACGAATTTAAAGTTTTCCCCAGATACCTACTGGCTACTTTTCCAGGTACCCGGCTTTCCCTGTTTATGTTGCCTGCTTTGTTCACCATTTTTTCCTCAGTGTCTGATTTGTGTGTGATCAGGGTTATTTCTGGGCTGTTGATCTTCATTTCTATTTTTGTACTGAAGACATGGCCTTAGGTACTGCCAACTGGAGGTGTGGGTGGTTACTGAGAGGGGCTTGTTTGCCTTTGTTGAGCCTCTGACCTGTTTAGATTTTTAAACAAAACTGCTTTGGTTTCTTTTTTATTTTATTTTTTTCCCCTTTGGATGTCAGGGATTGAACTCAGGGGCACTCAACCACTGAGCCACATCCCCAGCCCTTTTTTGTATTTTATTTAGATACAGGGTCTCACCAAGTTGCTTAGCACCTTGCTTTTGCTGAGGCTGGCTTTGAAGTCATGATCCTCCTGTCTTAGCCTGCTGAACCACTGGGATTATAGGCGTGTTCACCACTCCTGGCTGATTTTCTTGTTTCTTTAAATTTTTTTAAGTTGTTGATGGACTTTTATTTTATTATTTATTTATATACAGTGCTGAGAATCAAACCCAGTGCCTCACACATGCTAGGCAAATGCTTTACCGCTGAGCTACAACCCCAGCCCCTGCTTTGATTTTCTAGAACAATTTTCTGCACTTTGTTGGATGGCTTTTGGGATAATCTATAGAATGAGGAGAATGGGCCCCTAGGACCTATTATTTGGGTCAGTGCTGGGGATCTTGTCAGCTTTTTGTGATCCCTGTCCCCCAACATCCCCCCATTCATAATATAGGCCAGGTACAAGGCCTGGGCTGAGGTATATAGAGGACAGGTTTACTCTTCTTCCACTTTGTATACAGTCAGTGTAAGAATACAGTCTGTGGTAAGTACCAGAAAGCCTCTGTGGCTGATCTTTAAGGGGGTGGGTGGTAACTTCACATTTTCTTGGGCATCAAGGCCACCGTAGGAGTCCTAGCCTGGCACAAGACTTTTCTTCTATCTTGCCCCCAACCCCACATTCCCATCATTCCTCTAAGCCGTCCCAGCTCCCTACCTGAAGCAGAGGGTAGAGCAGCCATGTATTCAGTCCTGAAGTGTGGGGGGGTCCCTCGTGTCTGGTTCTGTTTTGCATTGTAGCTATAGAAATTATCTATATCAATAGAAAATTAACAAAAGGGGTGTTAGGGATATCAAGCAACTGGCATACATGTCATGGTTTTAGGAGTTTGTTGGCCAAAACCTGTGTGTTATAGTCACTGGCAGGTGAAATATAGATATATGCAATATCTATATCTACCCATCTATATAGCTCCATCCATCTATATCCTTGGGATACTAAGCAAGTCATTTGAACATGGTTCATTCCTGTCTTCTGTTGATGGTATGATTGGGATGAGGCTGGCTACTGGGTCTAATGCCTAAAGCAAGAGGGACCTAGCTATACCCACATGAGTCTGCACAAGGCTTTTCTTCTGTCTCTTTATCTGGCCATGACATTCCTCTGGGTTTTGTCTACCTTCCTATACTCCTACCCTCCTAGCAGCTATAGTCATAAGGCCTTGAGGTGGCGTCCCTGTCTGATTCCATTATGTGCTATACTCACCATCTCTTTTGCCCTGTGATGCATTGTTGGGTGGCAAGAGCTAGATCTACAGCGAGGGAGTGATGGGAGCCTGCAAGATGGGCTGCCTTCTGGAGTCAAGTGTGAAGTTCACAGCAGAGCTAGGACTGGCACTTCCTTCTGACTGGTCCAGGACCTCATTCTAGGGTAAATGACATTAGAGAGAAGGGAATTTTGCTTTGACATGAGTCCTGTGGTCAGTCTTTGGTGTAAGCCTCAGTGAGGGATTCTTGTTTGGATGTGGTTATTTTTTTTAATATTTATTTTTTAGTTGTAGGAGGACACAATATCTTTATTTCATTTTTTTTTTTTTAATGTGGTGCTGAGGTTTGAATCTAGTGTCTCACGCATGTTAGACAAGCACTCTACCCCCCTACCACAACCTCAGCCCCCTGGATGTGGTTATTCTGATCCATGCTTTATAAACATGCTTTGTTACTTTTTGGTCTTTTTTTTTTTACATATAACTAAACTCTGGGGATGAGAAGGGAGTATGACTCAGGTCCCCGTATCAGTTTCCTCATTTTGTTTTTTGGTGCCAAGGTTCAAACAACAGGGCCTTGTGTGTGCTAAGCAAGCCAGGCTTTCTTATGGTAGTTGGAGATTTAGCTCTGCCATTGAGCCATATTTTCTGCCCCACAGGGCAGTATTGGGACACACCAAGCTTAATGTCACCTCTGGATCACCAGATCACTATTCTCTCCCAACAGGCTGATTTACAACAGAACATCCCGGGCCACCCAGTTTCCTGATGGTGTGGATGTGCGTGTCCCTGGTTTTGGGAAGACCTTCTCATTGGAGTTCCTGGACCCCAGCAAAAGCAGTGTGGGTATGTAGCTCCTGGGGCTGGGGCTAGAGCCTTTGCTGGACTCCTCAAGTTGGAGGAACCCCACTGGTTTGAAGGGGTAACCTGTGAGCTATCTGATCAGTGTGGGCACAGAGCTCTTTACTCCTCCTCCAGAGATCCATTTGGGAGACATCACAGTCTTTGTGTCAGTAGTGGTGTGGGTGTCTGGTGCTAGCTGTACCTTCTCTAATCTTGCATATTTTTGTCTATAGGTTCCTATTTCCACACCATGGTGGAGAGCCTTGTAGGCTGGGGCTACACACAGGGTGAAGATGTCCGAGGGGCCCCCTATGACTGGCGCCGAGCCCCAAGTAAGAAGTCACCCTCATTCCTTCCTCAAGGTTCTGGGAGGTGGGCAGAAGGCAATCATAGCTGCCATAGGTCTTGAGCTCTCAGCCCTGGGCTCTCCCCTATCTCTGGGCCCCTGTGGTCACACCAATACCCCTGGTCAATCTTGTCCTATTCTTCCCCATCCCTTATCCCAGGACCTCTGGGCCTCTGAACCCTGGGGAGGGTTGATAGATAAGACTGATGGGAAAAGGGGCCCCTTTATCCTCCCTTTATATAAGCTGGTGGGGAACCAGACTGCTTCCATTTGGGTTTTAGCACTCTCCCCACCCTCTAGTCCTGGGTCTGGCCTGAAGAATGGTCAGTGGTGCAAGCCCCAGGACCCTTCCTGCCTGACCCCTGCTTGGCTCTGGCCTGCAGATGAGAACGGGCCCTACTTCCTGGCCCTCCGAGAGATGATCGAGGAGATGTACCAGCTGTATGGGGGCCCTGTGGTACTGGTTGCCCACAGTATGGGCAACATGTACACACTCTACTTTCTGCAGCGGCAACCACAGGCCTGGAAGGACAAGTATATCCGTGCTTTTGTGTCACTGGGAGCTCCCTGGGGGGGCGTGGCCAAGACCCTGCGCGTCCTGGCCTCAGGTAAGACCTACCTGGCCCAGTGTGGGTGGCTAGTCCCAGGAATGCCTCCTTTCTCTCCTTCTTGCTAGGCCAACACCCTTCATGTCACTTCCTTGGTTCAGTGCCTTTCTTTCTCCAGAGCAACATTCCTTTTCAAATATCTTTTTTTTTTTTTCTAAAAGAGGATCTAATACTACTACTAATTTCACATCTTTAATTGATAGCCCTTGTAATCTGTGTTTCTCACACCTTGTATTTGGAGAGGCACAACTGCTGTCCTCACAGCCACTTGCTTGTGCATATACACCACAAACATATACATGCACACGCATTGCTAGGTCTGGCTGCTGAACTTGGTTTGTCCCAAAGGTCTTTGGAGTACCTTCTCATTCCCCCTCGCCTGCATCCTCACTTCTTCATCTTCACCTGTGCCCCAGAGGAGGAAGGCTGGACCACCATTTCCTGTTTATGAGTTGTACCTCCATCTGTGGGCAGGCGGGGAGCCTCTGTGGGTAATGCAGGGAGGAAGCAGGTGCAGATCTGGCTGGGCCTGCTTGTCTTGGCAGTTGGGAAAGTCATCACCTTATTGGTTCCTCCGTAATCCACTTGCCTTTTTATGACTGTCAGAACTTTCTAGTTATAGCCATGGGGTGGGGCTTCCTGCTTTAGGAAGAAGTTTCTCTCCCTTTGCCAGGACTCTGTGGGAGCCCTGAGGACCTTCACTTTGGGGACTGAGCCAGGACCATGCCAGGCTTCCTCCAGTCATTAGCACTGTCTGACTGCTTGGTCAACCATTCATTATGATTGGGTCAGGCCCAGCACCTGTCTCAGTGTCCTGAGTTGTCTGGATAATGAGGTCATGACTCAGACATTCAGGACTGGGTGCCATGATGGAGTTCAGGCCCCAGCCCATTTCAGAGTTTCCTCCTTTTCCTCAGATGCTAGAAAATTGTCGTCAGCACTGGCAGTCCAGGAGTGGGGGGTGAGATGTGGGAAGGTGAACCCCTAGGGGCATCCCTTTCCTCAGAATCTTATAGAAGTCCACAGCAGGCAGAGCTAAGGTCATATGGTTTCTGTTTTCAGATATTGTGGCCCCTGTCTCCAAGTTCAGATCACCCCTAGAGGTCTCACTGGCTGATTGGTATGTTTGTGGTGTTACATTCCAGTAGGTGAAGGTCTGACTCTGTCTGTAGCTTCCCCTCCTGCCCTGTCTCCAATATCATGGCCACCAGATCAGTGCACAGGCAGGTAGGTGGGATGAGATCAGGCTGGCTGAATTCTGTTCTGAGCTTAGGAAGAAAACAACATGTATATAGTTCAATGTGATAGAGAGGACCTATTGCTTCACCTTAGACAAAGCCAGTGCCCACAGGTGTGGTGATAACATGTTTGGAGGAGGGTACCAGTTACAAGTGAGGAAATATAATAAATCACTAGGAAGAAGGGGAGAAGGGGAGATGGTGAATTGCCTAAATCCCTTGTGAGGAAATGCAAAAGAAACAAAACAAACAACAACAAAAACAAACAAACAAAACAAAAAACCCCACAAAGTTTGGATTCGCTTCCTAAATAAATGTAGCAAAAATAAAGGGAAATAATATCTTAGCTACGTGAGAGGCTGAGGCAGGAGAATCAAAAGTTTAAGGGCTGGGATTGTGGCTCAGTGGTAGAGTGCTGGCCTAGCACGCGCAAGACCCGGGTTTGATCCTCAGCACCACAAAAAAATAAAGGCATTGTGTTGTGTCCATCTACACCTAATAAATAAATAAATAAATATTTTAAAAAAAAAGTTCAAGGGAAGCCTGAATGTAACCCTGGTAGAACACATGTGGGAGACCCTGAATTAAATCCCCAGTACCAGAAAAAAAGGGGGTGGTGGTGGAAGGGGAACCATAAAAGCTAATGTAGAAGTGGCTGGGGATGTAGCTCAGTTGGTAGAGTGCTTGCCTTGCATGCACAAGGCCCTGAATTCAACCCTCAGTTCCACCAAAAAAAAAAAAAAAAAAGCTAATGTCAGGATGATGATTAATAGTGTAGAGATTGTAGAGATTCCAGAGTATTGACTGGGCCATTGGCTGGGATCCAGCAGAGGACATGGTCCTGAACCTGCTGCCCATCCTATTTGTGTTCATCAGCACAGAACTGATTGAAGTCCTCTCCCTGCAGGAGACAACAACCGCATCCCTGTCATTGGGCCTCTGAAGATCCGGGAGCAGCAGCGGTCTGCAGTCTCCACCAGCTGGCTACTGCCCTACAATCATACCTGGTCACCTGAGAAGGTGTTTGTACACACACCTACAACCAACTACACACTGCGAGATTATCAACGGTTCTTCCAGGACATTGGTTTTGAAGATGGCTGGCTCATGCGGCAGGACACAGAGGGGCTGGTTGAAGCCATGGTGCCACCTGGTGTTCAGCTGCACTGCCTTTATGGCACTGGTGTCCCCACACCAGACTCCTTCTACTATGAGAACTTCCCTGATCGCGACCCTAAAATCTGCTTTGGTGATGGTGATGGCACTGTGAACTTGGAGAGTGTCCTGCAGTGCCAGGCCTGGCATAGCCTCCAGGAGCACCAAGTGTCATTGCAGGAGCTACCAGGCAGTGAGCACATTGAGATGCTGGCCAATGCCACCACCCTGGCCTATCTGAAACGTGTGCTCCTTGGGCCCTGATTTCTGGGCCAGGCAGGGCTGCTGAATGGCTTGGCCATGGGGTTTCCCCCAGTCTCTGGGACTGTCATCAAGCTCCTGGGTCTTGGGCTTTGGATTATCTGCCTTGAGAAAGTACTGTTTCTTATCCTTCCTCTATGGTAGTGAAGAAGGAGGAAATAAGCATGGACTCAAGGGACACGTTATAGAAAGAATGCTGCTGCTGTTGGATTTGTTGTGACCTCAGAAATGGGCTCTGCGGGGTGGATTGGTTGGTACCTGGCCCTAATCTCCAACTTGGGGGTCATACATTCCTTCTACCCCTATGGCCTTTCCACACTTGCCCATTGGCCCTTGGACTTCCTGTGAGAGATGTTACTTAGCGATGGTCCCTGCCCCCACAGGTCCCAGGGTGACCCTTTTCACATGCTGGCCTCAAGTAGGCCTGCTGTTGGCCATGGGTGGCTGGAGCTGCTGGCTTCCCTGTGGCCTCACTGGTAGACACAGTGGCCTGACTTCAGGCCATGGGGTAGGCTTCATGGGGTAGCCTGGTACCCCCTGCAGGCAGGGGCAATTTGTTTTGTTTTCCATGGTTCCCAGATCCAGGGGCATATACTCCACTCCTACCTCTCACCTCCAGGAGCAGCCTAGTCTGGATCAGGCAGCAGATGCTCCCTCAGTTTGGGGGGCTATGTCCCAGAAGCCCTGATCCCCTTGGTTGTGCTGTGTCAGTCCTAGTATTGAAGCTGGCTCCCTTGGCTCTGGGACTGTGGTTCAAGGAGAGCTGTGCCCAGTGCCATGACCTTTTAGGGAACTGAAGGAGGCAACCATGGCTGCTCAGAGCTGCCCTGAGCTGCCCTCATGCAAACCCTACCACCACATTACCATCCTGCTAGGGTCTCTTAGAACCTAGCTGGGCTGGCACAGGGCTGAGAGGTAGTGGGTTTCTGACCCACTGCCCAGCACCTTCTCCCAGGAAGCTGAATGGTATTTAGTTTCCAGGGTCTAGCCCAGAGACTTGAGAGCCAGGAGCCTAGGGCCCATCTAGGGGTTTTCTGTCTGCCCCAGGGATGCTATATGGTCTCCTGTGATAGCTGGGATGGAGAATCTGGACCTGCCTAATGGCCGTGGGTGCCAAATGGGCACGTGGCTATAGGCTGAGATCTAGGTCCAAAGCCACCTTCAGGCTGGCCTGCATTGTTGTACCACCAGATTTCACAACTCTAGATTTTCCATGTTGTACACATGCCCAGCATCTGTCTCTTCCTTTATTCCTGGGTGGTGATCCCTGTATGGGGCTCTGAGAAGGCTGTATCTGGTTACTGGCAATAAAAATATTCTGAATGCTGTAAAGTGTCCTGGACTACTCTGAGCATGAGAAGAGGGAGATTATGGAAGTGTGTGGACAACTAGAGAGGCAGGATATCAGGGACTGGACCTTTATGGCATCTCAGCACCAAAGCATGGCTCCTGTGCCCTACCTTGGGCTTTATCCTCCTACCACCTTTCCTGAAATCCAGTTCACCTCTGAGATGAAGAACTAGGGCTGGGGTTGTGACTCAGCAATAGAGCACTCACCTAGCATGTGCAAGGCCCTGGGTTTGATCCTTAGCACCACATACAAATAAATAAAATAAAAGTATTGTGTCCAACTACAACTAAAAAATAAATATTAAAAAAGAAAAGAACTAGAATCTGTAATACTAGCCACTTCAGAGGCTGAGGCAGGATGATCATGAGTTCAAAGCTAGAATCAGCAATTAGTGAGGCCTTCTGCAACTCAGCAAGACCCTGTCTAATAAAATATAAAATGGGCTGGAGATGTGGCTCAGTGATTAAGCACCCGTGGGTTCAATCCCTGGTACCAAAACAACAACAACAACAAACTAGAACCTGAAACAGTCCTCTTGGAAGGGGGCTCCTGTCTTCCCCTTATTCCTTCCTGGTCAGACTCCACAATCTGCCTCAGAGCTGGGGGCAAGGATAGTCTTGCAAGTCACTGGCTGCACTCTCCTTCCCAAGCTGTGTCCTCCTTCAGCTCTCAGGTCTCAGCATCCTTTGAACCTAGAATTCCTTTTTCCTCATTTGCCTGTCATGTAGACTCCTTTTGGGACAGAGACTGAGGGAAGCAGAGAAGTTAGGCTGAGACTGGTATAGGCAAAGAGAGATGGGACCAAACAAATGGTAGAGAGGAAACATACATAGGGATGGGGTCCCAGACTGAACTTGGTAGTGGAAAGCCTGGGGCCAATAGGGTTGATAGGAGCCCCAGTTCCCTCACAGAACCCCTCAGCCTACACTCCAGACTTTGATACAGTGTTGGCCACTAGAAGGCGCTCACGCCCTCTCGGGACTAACTACAGTACCGTGTTAGTAGGGCTTGGATAAAAGGGGTGACCCAGAGAGAGGATGAAGATACCTGGGAATACAGAGACCAGCTGCAGAACTGCCCTCTTTAAAAGGATGACAAATCCCAGCTCTACCAGTTCCCGTCAGGTAGCCTGGGCAGCCTCGTGGCCCTCCTCATTCTGTTTCCTGGGCTGAAAAAATATATCCTGCAGGGTGGTGTGTGAAGCACTGATAGTGTTGGAGAATATCTGATTGAGTCCCTGGTGCCGTGGGCTTTCAGCTGATGGGTTGCTTGTGACACAGCAAAGCCAGAGGTTTGGAAGCCAGCAGGTTAACTTATGCAGTTGTTGCAAGGACAAGTGGACTGGCTGCTACCAAGTTTCAAAAGTGTCCAGAACTGTCCCTCTGCCTGGCCAGAGAGGCTGGAGGAGCTGCCTGGAGGTAAAGGGTCAGATGTACTAACCCAAATATGTATATATAGTCCTTTATACTTATGGAAGTTGTTCTAAGCAGAGGACAAAAGAAGTTAGCATTATCAAGGGCTCCTCAGACTGTCATCCCAGGCCTATGGGTGGGTAGGACAGGGAATGGAAAAGGTTTCTTTGGGGGGAGGGGGCAGTACCCGGGATTGAACTCACAGGTACTCAACCACAGAGTCACATCCCCACCCCTATTTTATATTTTATTTAGAGACAGGGCCTCAATCAGTTGCTTAGCACCTTGCTGTTGCTGAGGTTGGCTTTGAATTTGTGCTCCTGCTGTCTCAGCCTCCCACCTGCAGCTGGTGGGAGGAAATGGAAAAATTTTTAGGGGAAGCTCAAAGTTATTACAATCTGTATTTTAGGATCATTTCTTATCCTGCAGAGATGGGTTAGAGCAGGATAGGGATTGGGAGGCTATTGTAGCCCAGGAGAAAAGCAATGCTTGTAGCCTTGGGGACAGAGAGGATGAAGAGGTCAGGTGCTGCTGGACCACTAGGTGGAGGGGAGCAAGCATCTGAGTGTAGTTTGGAGCTAGAGGATGTGCAGTTGTCAACATACAACTGGGAGAAATGAATGAATGACCCAGTAGATTCATTGCCCGAGGTAGACAGGAAACCAAGGGGGAGGGCCCAGGAGCCCATGAGGTTAGGAGGAGAGGGAGAGGACAGAAGGATGCAACTCCTCAAAGAGGGGCACCACCAGGGTCGGGCAGAATGAGGACAGAGCCGTGGAGAGGCCCAGATTTTGCTAAGGGAGCGGCAGTGACTGTGTCTGCCAGGGCTTCAGTGATTTGAGTCTGAGCAAAGTGTGCAAGGACAAGTCCTGGGTGTGTGCCTGTCGGGAGCTCTTTAAGTGAACTGTTTGAGTCTCTTTGGATGTGGGGTCCCCCAGCTAAGGATCAGATGGGAACAAGGTAGGAGGGCCCTCTACAGCATCCGGGTGAATGTAGGGGCCCCCCCCGAGGCTTCCTGTGACTGCGTGCAGGGTCTGGAAGTGGCCATCCAGGACAAGGGTGGCTGGGCCCAACTCAAGGTCCACACCAGTCTCGACGCGGCAGGCTGGGGGCAGCCCAGGAATCTGCACGTAGTGGCCGGGCCCGGGATCGTGGATGCCGCGGCATTGTCTGGGGCCCGGAAGCGACGCCGCCAGAGGCTGGGGCGAAGAGCCCTGTCCCGACGTAGCGCGCGCTGTCGCGATCCGGTGGCGGATGACGTGGCGGGGGCGGGGCCTGAGCGGCCGCTGCGGCCGTGCGGCTGGGCGACCGAGCATCCTGGCGGCGCCTGGCCACCGAGAGGTAACGGGCTGGGCTGCCGGCCGGGGAGCTGGAGCGTGGGGACGCGGGGACGCGGGGCGTAGGGCGGGGAGGGGCAGGGACCGCCTCCCGCGGGGCTGAACCCTCCGCGCTGCCGCCGCCGCCGAGTGCTGGATGCGGGCCGGAAACTGCGCGGGGCGGGCCGCAGCCGCGTGAAGGTGACGCTGTGAGTGTAAGAGGGACCTGGAGCTTGAGGGTGACGCCAGGAGTTCGGGAGACCCTGAGTGTACGACTGAGTGTGTGAGAAAGACTGTGTGTGTGTGTGTGTGTGTGTGTGTGAGAGAGAGAGAGAGAGAGAGAGAGACCCCCAGGGTCGTGTTGGCTTTGTGAGTGTGCGAGACCCTGAGAGAAGGTCTTTGAAGTGAGAAAAACCACGGGTGTGAGAGAGCCTTCGTGGGTGTGTGAGGGAGAGATCGTGAGGGTGAGAGACTAGGAATAAGTTGTTCCCAGAGAGAGAGAGAGAGACACCGATTGTGAGAAACAACCTGTGCTGTGTGACACGTTGAGCGAGTAAAGGTCTGAGGGCGCAGGGACCGAAGTGTGCGAAGGCGGGAACCACGCTTCTGGGGTTGTTTCAACCCTTGCCTGGGGGTCAGGGCTTGGAGCGCTGTGATATTGGAGCTTGGGAACAGGATGCTCCCGTTATTAATGGTTCCTCTGAGCGTCTCTATATCCTGTCATCTCATTTGACCAGCTCGTGTCATAACTGTCAGGAGATATTTGTGAAACATTTTGAAAATTCTCCACTGAGCGCTAAGCCAACAGCCTGGTCATCATGTTGTGTAATGGTCAGTATAAATAGGAGTCAACATCTAGTTTAACAGATGTCTTGGAGAACCTCTCATGGACACTGGTCTATGTACGTGGTGACACTGAAGGACCCCAAGGCCCCAGGCCCAACATTAGGAAATCTAACCCCTGTGCCCTGAAGCTGCAAGATGTTCTCTTACACAACCCCCATGTCAAAACCCCACCAGCTGCACGTAGCATTTCAAGTCTTGCACAATGCCACCACAAGATGTTCCATATAGATAACCCCGGAAGGGCCAAACTTGAGCAAACAGGGTAAAAACAGGAACTAAACAGGGTAAAAACAGGAACTAAAAGGACAGGATGCAATTTTATGGTTTTTCCGAGAACTAAAGTGGGAAAACAAGTTTACCCCCCAGGTGACCTAAAGGCTGAATTCAGAGGAACCAATAGAATAACTGTTACTGTGCTAAGCTAAAAACTAACCCCCTGCTCTCTATAAAAGATCTGTGCCCTAGAGCCCGGTGTGCCAGTTCACCGAAGCTCCGGCTGAGGTTTCGCTGAGCACCCGCTGGCGCCTGTGTAGCAATAAATCGCCTCTTGCTTTTGCAGCCAGTGTCTCGTGTGCTTTTCCTTGAGCAGGGAGTCGGAGGGTCTTTCATTTTGGAGGTCCCACCGAGATCCCCCCCTCCCCCTCCACACCCCGGTCCGAGTCCCTGCCCGAGGAACGCCCGGCAACCACTGGGAGGTAAGCTGGCCAGCTCGTGTCATTTTGTGTTTCTTTTGTTCTCTGTTTGCAGTCTCCGATCGTTGTCTGTCTGTGCGCAGCGTCCGTACGATTACGCGTAGTCGCTCTGTATTCTGGGCAGCTTGAGAAGGAGTTGACGAACTCAGACTTCTCCCCTGCCACCTTGGGAGACGTCCCAGGGATTCGGAGGGCCCAATTTTGGGGGCCTTAAATGTTTTCGAAGAGTACACTGTTCTTGTGGGTGACGGAGTTCCTCCTCCCCCTAATCTGATACTTTCGGTTTGTGCCGAAGCCGCGCAGCGTTCTTTGTGTTTTGTGTCCTGTCTGATTTGTATCTGTCTCCTTGCCTCTGCATTTTCTCGTTCCACCTGAGACTAACATGGGACAATCTATAACAACTCCCTTGAGTCTTGCCCTTGACCATTGGCAGGACGTCCGAAATCGGGCAGAGAACCAGTCAATAAAAATAAGAAGAAAAAATGGGTAACACTCTGTACCACGGAGTGGCCAATATTGGCCCACCCTCGGAGTTGAATGGCCCCCAGGAGAGTCCCTCCATCTCTCTCTCTAATCTGCAAAGTCAGAGATTGTCTTTCAGCCGGGGCCACATGGCCATCCAGATCATGGCTTTTAACCTTTCAGGACCTCTGCGAATCTCCTCCTGCATGGGTGGGGTCCGCGCAGTCCTCCGGGAGGATTCCACCCGGCGGTATCCCGTCCCTGTTCCTCCCCTGTTCCTCCCGGCCCCTCCACCCCAGGAAGCGAACGAGTCTTCCTGGAGTCGGGCTGCTTGGAAATGCAGCCCAAGGCGGATGATAAATTCCATCTAAGGCTGAATACTGAGACTAGGGAAGCAATGTTTTCTTCCCCCCCCATAACCGGCTTGAGTGCAAATAGAGATGCCTGCTGGGGATTTAACAACTTTGACATCTCGCTTTGACTTTTCTCAAAGCCCTGTCCTCATTATTAAATTAGTGTTAATTGGCTTTAGAGATGGGAACCAAATTTTCAGTCACAAATTTTGACACTCTCAAGGGGACTTTTAAGGAGTCCCCACTCTGCTTTCTTGGGGAAGCCTAGCACTCGAAACAACTGCAAGCAGAGGATGGACTTTTTGGGAGCTGGCTACTAACAAGTTAGAAAAAAAAAAAATGCCTAATGCCTAAGGTCAAACCAAACTAGAGGAACTGATCCTGTGGGTGAAAGATAAGATTAAGGGACTCCCAGCAGCTGCCAGAGCCATTTAGCTCTGGGGAGTTCCCTGGGTCCTTATCTACATCTTAAGGATTACGCCACCTCTGTTTACTTAAAAAGAAGGGACACTGAATGCAGTAAAGCCAGTCACACTGAGACCCTTGATTTTACACCTATAGTTGCCCCTACGTGAAAACATCTGGTCCACTCATGGGAAAGTCTATGGTGCCACTGATGGGAGTCATAATTAAATGAAAGTTCAAAACCTGGAGAGATATTTTCTTATCTGGTTGTCTGATTGTTTCTTAGGGATAATCTAGGTTAAATGTGTGTCTAAAAAAAAAATAATAATTTTTTATTGTAACAATCTGGTATCTGAATGGGTTTCTAAAGCATTGCACTATCTTGCAGTTAAAAGTTGGGTTTAAGCAATTGTTTAGTTTGATTTCAGATAGTTCATGCTAGAAAACTTAAATACTTGGGATAAAAAAAATTTAAGAGTTTCAATTTTGAACTGGGTAGCCTGAAAAAAAAATTAAAACGTTGACGAGATAAAAGTGTCTTTTTACCTGAACTCAAACTAGACCAAACCAAAAAGTAAATTGTATGATATTTACTAACTACTGGCCAGTCATCTTTTTTTTTTTTTTTTTTAGGACTCTTGTTTTTTCTTAGATTCTGTATTTTTTTGAGCTCGTGATTCTGATCCTGCAGACCTAGGTTAATGTTTTTCTGATCAGTGAAGTTTTTTTAAAAAAAAAAAAAATTGCAATAGAGATTTCATCTGCGAAAAGCTACGAGGCCTTTATTATTGTTATGTGTGCACACTCTTGTTATGTGTTGTATGTCTGTATGTGTGTATGTCCATATATCCTGCAGTGATATAACAATTGACAGATGAGGAGCGCTCATAAAAAAAAAAAATTAAAAATAGATCCAAATATCTTTAATTCACGTGATTCAAACGGTTCAATTTAGATTGGGTAAACAGATAAAAGTAAAGATGTCCTCAAAATTAAGCTTATAAGTTTCTCTAGGTGTTCAAAAAGGCCCTAATAAAATGTTAACTCTGCTTAAATTTAAAAGTTTACAAGTATTGTTTCAAAATGTGAACAAAAGGAGGTTTATGTAATTATGGTGTTATTAATGTGTTCATATCTTCCAGGTATACAAGTCTATAAGGTAGAAGCTTCAAAAGAACATTATATCAAGCTGGTGTTCTAAAGTTGTATGGTAATTTTAGGCTTAAAAAAAAAAAATGTTGGAGATTCAATTATATCATTTGTGTTCTATAACTGAACTTGTTATCAATAAGATATGTACGGTTCCATGTTACTTTCTACTCTAAGATACAATTTATGTATTTTTAAGTTAATAAGAGCCTAATCTGTGTGAAGGTTTTATTGCAAAACACAAAAGTACATTACTACTTTTCTACAAGAGGTTAAAAGCTTTCAGCCTTTAATTCATGTTTTAGGTGTGATATTATGTTGTGTTAGCTAATGTTCATGTAAACTTGAACAACAATTTTTTTTTTTTTAAAGACACATTCTTTTTTTTTTTTTTTTTTTTAAGAACACCTTTATTTTCTTTTTCTTTTTTTTTTAAAGAGAGAGAGAGAGAGAATTTTTTAATATTTATTTTTTAGTTCTTGGCGGACACAACATCTTTGTTTGTATGTGGTGCTGAGGATCGAACCCGGGCCGCACGCGTGCCAGGCGAGCGCGCTACCACTTGAGCCACATCCCCAGCCCCATTGAACAACAATTTATGTAAACTTTGTAAAATGATCAGCTTCAGAACTATAGTACTTGAGATTTATAAAGAGCCCTGCCTTACTTGAGATAAGGCTCTGTCCCATCTCACTACATGTGAAAGTGGCTATGAAAAAAGTAAGCCAGATTTCAGTACAGTTAAAGTTGTGTCCAAAAGTAGGTTTTTGCCAAGATTGCTAGGATCTCAAACAGGAAATTATGATGTATAACCCTGCCAGAATTCAAGGTAGCTATTATATAAGCTAAATATGTTTTTACCCTAGTTAGTTTTGTTTTGTAGTTTGCTTATAGATGGTTTAAGGATTGCCTATTAATATTCTAAAGAGGTATTGCTTTAAGAACACAACCTGGGTCAACATAAGATAAAGAGTTATCACCTACAGGATAGAGAGATAGACATTAAAGCCCAGTGCTCTTAATATAAGGCTGTTAACTTATTTGCTGGATGTTTAAGATCAAGTTTTTAAAATTAGTTAAATTAAAAGGGCCAAGAAAACCAATATTTGGCTCTTGCCCTCTGAGTCAGTCTGAATCAGGGAATAGGGGACTTCTCCAAAGGGCTCAGCAACTCTAGGCCACATAACCTCCTGAGCAGGGAGATTAATGAGACCAGTGGAGGACAGAAAGCCAAATGGTGCATTTGCTGTAAAGAGGAGGGTCATTAAAAAAGGGAGACATCCCTGATGCTTCTGAGGGAAGCCATATGGTCAAGCAAGGCCTGGACCCATCCTAGCGCAAATGGCACTAGCAGAACTGAAAAGCTGCTATGAAGTTCCCGAGGACTCCCAGGATAACTCAGCTGACTGTAAACAATAGGTAGAAACAAAAGTCAGTTTGACTTGCTTCATCTTAAACACTTAGCAAAGACAGTCAAAGCCAAAGCACAGCTGTTCCTGGACATCTTAAATGATAATAATAGTTAAATGTAACTTCCATAAATAAGTAGACTGGAGGCTACAAAAGAGATTCTTAGACAGAAATGCCTGATAACTGTCAAAGGGACTGCCAGAGTAGTTTTAGTCTAAGGCCTTTATTTCTAGCCAACGCAGGTAGGCTTGATGTTTGCTAATATGGTTATCCAGCCCTAAGTAGCAGAATTAAAGATTTCTCTATTAGACACAGAGGTCATACTAGTAAAAGGATTTTGCAGGATCAGATGGCATTAAATTATTAAACTATATCTTAAAGGAAAAGACATCTGTAACCCTACATGTTAGTTGTTGTGTTGACATCCCTGACATTTCTGACAATGTGACAAATATCCTTAAAGATTTACCTGCTCAGATGGAAGCCATGTCCTCAGCAACTTTTTTGTGGAAACAATATCCTAGCTCCTAGTTCCTGGTACTGCCTGATGAAAAACATTGTTAATCTTTGTCTTGGCCATTATACTCATTGGCATATTCCTGTGCTGTGGCATTTATTACTGCATCAATATGGTTCCAGTACTAATAAGTTCTTGTTTCTCTTATAGACCACCCATCACTCAAATGGCCCTCCAGCCTATTACTTCTCAATTAGACTTTCATCATGGACCACTCGATAGACCCGATATTTTTAAGGGGGACTCCAAACTGCTTGCCCCACGCCGTCCCTTTTCAGCCTGAAGAAGCCAGAAAGATTCTCTTCGTCCCCCTTCCTCACAGCAGTAAGGAATTCCCAAATTAAAAAAAAAAAAATGAATGAAGCCAGATTTAAAGTTAGGTAGTCAGTGTAGTTAGATAAATCGGGGGTCTAATATCAAGTGACCAAGTCTATCACTGCCTTAGAGAAATCTCTCTCTTCCCTCGCAGAAGTCGTGCTACAAAATAGGAGAGAATTAGATCTGTGATTCCTTAGGGAAGGTGGTCTCTGTGTGGTTTTAAAGGAACAATGTTGTTTTTATGCTGACCATACGGGGGTGGTCCAGGAAACTATGGAGAAAGTCACTGAAAGGTTGGCAAAAAGGCAAAAAGAATTTGAAGCACAACAAGGATGGTTTGAACATTGGTTTAACAAATCCCCATGGTTAACTACTTTGCTATCCACCATAGCGGGACCTTTAATTATTTTGCTGATAATCCTGACGTTTGGACCCTGCATACTCAATAGATTGGTGCAGTTTATGAAAGAAAGACTTTCTGTAATCCAGGCTATGGTTCTAACTCAACAATACCAGTTGCTTAAACAACAGACAGGGTCACAAACAAGCTTAATCCAAGAACCTGAGCAAGCAGGACAATGGATATAAGATTATATCCATGATATAGAAAAGGGGGGGGATGAAGGACCCCAAGGCCCCAGGCCCAACATTAGGAAATCTAACCCCTGTGCCCTGAAGCTGCAAGATGTTCTCTTACACAACCCCCATGTCAAAACCCCACCAGCTGCACGTAGCATTTCAAGTCTTGCACAATGCCACCACAAGATGTTCCATATAGATAACCCTGGAAGGGCCAAACTTGAGCAAACAGGGTAAAAACAGGAACTAAACAGGGTAAAAACAGGAACTAAAAGGACAGGATGCAATTTTATGGTTTTTCCGAGAACTAAAGTGGGAAAACAAGTTTACCCCCCAGGTGACCTAAAGGCTGAATTCAGAGGAACCAATAGAATAACTGTTACTGTGCTAAGCTAAAAACTAACCCCCTGCTCTCTATAAAAGATCTGTGCCCTAGAGCCCGGTGTGCCAGTTCACCGAAGCTCCGGCTGAGGTTTCGCTGAGCACCCACAGGCGCCTGTGTAGCAATAAATCGCCTCTTGCTTTTGCAGCCAGTGTCTCGTGTGCTTTTCCTTGAGCAGGGAGTCGGAGGGTCTTTCAACACAAATTAAAAAGAACTCAGTCTCTGCCCTTGATGGAGAAAAAAATGGCCCTCTTGGCTAGCTAATGTAGCAGCAAGGTAGCAGAATATGCTAAGCCATCTGGTGCCTTATTCCCCGATTTAAGATCTAGGAGGAGCAGGCTGACTGCTTCCTGGGGTCATTTTGCCTCTTTTTACCTGGTGGAGCTCTTCAGGAAACTGCCCACGCTGCCTACATTTTTCAGGTCCCATTGTGGTTGTACACTGATGGCTTTTGCTTCCTGACTTTGGTCTCAGGGTTGTTATTTGTGTTGTTATATTTGATTTTCTTTTCCTGGCAAATATGTGGAAAACCGCAAGCCTGATTTTTTTTTTCCTTATCTTGTTCATTTCTACCTCCTCCCTTTATCTGGCTGTGAGCATATTTTTATTGAACACCAAAAGTGTATACGATATGTGATTCATCTTCCCTGTATTTAAATTTTTTTTTTTTGCCATGTTGAGGATCAAATGGAACTTCTTGAGAGAGGAAATTTCCTGACCTCTGTGTTTCCTGCTGCAGTCTCTAGGATATGGAGATGTTTCTACAAAAGTTATGCAAACAGTGTTCATGGGACCTGGGACTCTGGAGCAGCAGCTGCCTAGACATGCATGATTTCAGATAACCAGGCTCCTTTTTTGAAGTTTGGGCCGATTGCTTCAGTTACATCCCTGCTGTGGGTATGATGGAACTCAGAAAAGGAGGGCTGCCTCTAACTGGCATGTAAAATCTATTTTTTTTTTTTGGAGGGGGGTTTGGACACAGGGGTATTTAACCATTGAACCACATCCACAGCCCTTTTTCTTTTTAAGCTGTCAATAGACCTTTATTTTATTTATTGATACTTGGTGCTGAGAATTGAACCCAGTGCTTCACACATGCTAGGCAAGCGCTCTCCCACAAACCCAGCCCATCTGAAGCCCTTTTTTTTTTTTTCCGTTTTTTGAGACAAGATCTCACTAAGTTGCTTAGGGCCTTGCTAACTTGCTGAGGCTGCTTTGAACTTGCAATCCTTCTGCCTCAGCCTCCTAAACTATTAGGATTATAGGCATGTGCCACCATGCCTGGCTTGGTATGTAAAATCTAGATTTTACAAAGGGAAGTATCCTCCTGTTTACTAGGTTCATTTAAAATTTTTTTTGTTGTTGTTAGTTATAGATGGGTAGCATGCATTTATTTTATTTGTTTATTTTTTGTGGTGCTAAGGCTTGAACTCAGTGCCTCATACATGCTAGGCAAGTGCTCTGCCACTGAGCTACAGCCCCAGCCCCTAGGTTCATTTTTTGATAAATTGCCTCATATTCTTTGTTGCAGAGATAGACTGGCCACAACAGATAAATGGAATTTGCACTTGCTGTAGAGACTTCATTTTCTTCTCAGTAGTTTACCTGATGAATCAGTTTATAAAAGTGTGATTTTTGTGACAGGTAAATAATATTGCTCTATTCTATATTGACTTTCTTTGATTTTTATGATTTATAAAAGTTTTAGTTATTTGCATAAAATATGAATGTATTACTAATAAAGAGAATGGCTTATACATCACTAACAACTCTTTAATATTACATGTTATGTAATACTAATTTATTATACAAGTAAGTTGCATATTTATATCTCTTTCTAAAAAGTAATTATGGTGGTTTATAATTAAAGATACTTTTAATGAGGTTGTTAAAAACAAATAGAGAAAACTGGGGCTGTCACTGGTTCGATCCTTAGCACCATATAAAAATATACAAAATAAAGGTATTGTGTCTATCTACAACTAAAAAAAAGAAATTAAAAAAAAAAGAGAGAGAAATAGAGTAAACTAAAGCCATGGGAAAGACTAGGTAGCAAACACTGTTGAAATACAGGCATCTTATCTACTGTGATTGGGAGCTAAATTTGATCCTGAGTTTTCTGATATTCTAAGTACAAAGACAAACATAAGGGCCACATGATTTTTGTCTTTTGATTGGAAGTTACAATAAATACATTTAAAACTTTCTTTGTAATCAAACTTTGATGTCTGTTTTTTCCTTTAGAAATTGCACATGATAGTTTCATGGTTGTTTTCATCAGGAAATTTTAGTGGTCTGGTAAATTACTGAATTAGCTGCAGAATTCTTTAAAATGGGATGAAATCTGTTAGAAAAACTGTTTTGTCTTCTTCCCCTTTTTTTCAGCACTGGGGATCCAACCCAGGGACTCCTGCATGTCTTTTTTTTTTTTTTTTAGATTGAACTCAGGTGTGCTATACCATTGAGTCATATCCCCCGTTCTTTTTATTTTTTATTTTGAGACAGGCTATTGCTAAATTGCTGAGGCTGGCTTTGAACTTGCAGTCCTTCTGCTTCAGCCTCCCAAGTGATTGGAATTACAGGCATGTGCCAACATACCTAAATGCATTTTATCTAGGCTTAACACTGTTATTTCAAGATTAGACCTTATCAGGTACATTGAATAATTTAATGAAACCTATTTTATTTTTTCTTTCTTTCTTCTTCCTCCTTTTATTTGAGAGTGTGTGTGTGTGTGTGTGTGTGTGTGTGTGTGTGGTGCTGGGGATTAATTCCAGAGGCATTCTACCACTGAGCCACATTCCTAGCCCCTTATTTATTTATTTATTTTTGATTTTGAGACAGGGTCTTGCTAAGTTGCCTAGGACCTCACTAAATTGCTGAGGTTAGCCTTGAAACTGTGATCCTCTTGTCTCAGCCTCCCCATTAGCTTGGATTACAAGCCCATGCCACTGCACTTGGCTCAGTCTACCTTGAAATATTATTGAATTGCTTCACAAGAAAGAAACAGTATGCTCCCAATTCTTCCCACTTATTTTTTGTGTTACTGTTGTCAGATATTTTACTTTTAAGTATGTTACACATTGCTACTGTTTTTGCTGTAGGCATCAGTTACATTCTAAGCAACTGAAAATAATCAGCAATGTGTTCTTTTCAATATTTACCTTAACTATTGTATATTGTCCCATAGCTCTTAGATGCTCTGGTATGTTTTACTTTCTTCCATTTGACTCATGGTTTTCGTTTTTCTACTAAAATTCCATATTTAGCTGGGCATCACCGTGCATGCCTGTAATCCCAGCAGCTCAGGAGGCTAAGTCAGTATGAACGCGAGTTCAAAGCCAGCCTCAGCAATTTATTGATGCACTAAGCAACTCAGACAGACCCCATGTCTAAATAAAATATAAAAAGGGCTGCTGATGTGGCTCAGTGGTTTAAGTGCTTCTGGGCTCAATCCCTTGTAACAAAATAAAATAAAATTCCATATTTGTTCCCACTTGCTACCTAACTTTAACTAGAGACTTCAATGTATTAATCATAATTATTTAATCTTTATTTTTTGGAGATTCTGGGGATCAAATCTAGACCTTATGCCTGCTAGGCATGTGTCGCGACCCCTCGCCGGCAAGGGAAAACACGACACAGGATTCTTCTTTCAGCAGTTTATTCAGGCCTTGTTTCATGTATCATCTTCTAGCGACCCCCCTGCCGAGCGCCCAAGCACAGCCTAATAAAGCCTCCCGCATACCAATCCCAAGCTGCCACGTGGATCTCTCTCATAGGGTGGTAAGGGATTGTGCGCCAACTCTCCAAAAAAGGAGTTGTTTATCACAGGCCACAGTGGAAGCTGGCGCCATCTTCTAATGGCGGCCACGGTCTATAAGAATGGCTTACCACAGTTCCCCCTTCTATTTTATAAAACAATGCAGGCGAAAGTAGAGGTCCTATCCCACTGTGCAGAAGTGGCTGCAGTGTATGGTTCAGTCCTAAGGAGGGCCCTTCCCTAGACCTGGTCCCATATCAGCTGACGCCTTTTTTCGTAGGGCGGGGCGTGGACGTCAAACCCGCATGCAATAGGACATGCTTTCCTTGAGGTCCGTTGAGGGATCACTCAAGTGCAGTGCCTTGCTTCGCATCCTGCATCGTGATGACGATGAAAAAGAAAGGGGATTTTACAAGTAGCCGGTCAGTGACTATGAGGTTGGAAGTGGCAACACCATCCCTCAGCCCCTGAGAAAACGAAGGGTCCAAAGCATAAAGTGCAGCACCAGCATGGAAGCCCACCTGCGTGCAATGGCAACAAGGCCTGCAGAGTGCATGGGCCTTCCATAACTGGGAAAGCAGGAAGAGGAGGGCATGCTAATCCCAGTGCAATGTCAAAGATGACTTGGGGTGCAATGGCCAAAACCCAGGAAATTATTGCTTAAGTTGCGCAAGCCAAACTTGTGGAGAGATACCATTCTCTAGGGCTGCAAAAGCCTGGACGATCATAGCCTTTTCTTGGCTATGGCGAGCTCTTAGGCGACAGAAAAGCCACAGACAAAGGACAATCCCAAAACAACATATCGCTCCAAAAATGCTTATTTCCACCCATTCCTTAAAGAAAGAAAAGGCAGAAGACAGCCAATTCGTAAATTGGCCCAATGTCACAGGGTCCACACGAGTGTTGTTCAACATGGCAATTTGTGTCAGTTGGGTCTGGATCAACTTCTCTGCTTCCATGGACCAGTTTCCGGCCAGGTACTGTCCAATGATTTGAGAGGTATTTCTGGAATCATTAAATCTGAGAGATGTTATACATAGATGTGCACGATGATCAACACAACCCAAATGTACTAGGTCTGACAATTCCTCAATCTGAGCTTGGAGGAGATCCACCCTTTGATTAACGGCCAAAATTCCTGATAAAATATGTTGATTGATTTTACTTTGAGACTCTAAAATGCTGGAAGTTTGTTGGATGACCTGATTAACCGTGGCCGCAGTCTGCACTTGACTAGCCATGGCCATTCCGGCAGTGACCGATGCAGCAGCAGATATTGCAACCGCTGTTACAATAGCTGCCGTGATTCCAAAATCCCTACGGCTCCTGAGCACCTCAATAATAGGGAAGGAGTCCGGATCCGCAGTAACCGGAATCGGGACGAAAGTCGGGACCTTCATAACAACTGCCGTGCTCCAGGATCCATTCCAACACTCAGACAAGACATATGTACAATTAGAACAGTCAATCATTTCCGATTCTGTAGTATTGGTATCATTGATCAAAAGGAACAGAAACGGAGAATGAAGACAGACTGCTGCAGAGGGCAGTGTAGCATTGGACATCAGAGAATTTAATGAAATGTTTTTAAGTCTCCTACCATTAGCAGTGTCCTGTACAGAGCCAGACACATTAAACAGCCAACTCTGGACTCCTCTCAATTGAGCCAGAGCAGAGACATCAGCTGTGGCCCCCTTTTCATTGGAAATCAACCATTGAAACCAAGACCAGCCTGTTCCTGTAGTGGAATTAGCCTTGGAAGAGTCATACAAATACCTTTTAAGAGAAGGGGAAAGAGAGAAACCCACAGCAACTTGGCGCTTCTCCCAAGAATGATCTTGACAAGGCGTGAATGTCGGGGGGAAAGAATAGTACGGGGTACAATAAGGAGAGGCCTTAAAATAAGTGGCATTACTAGCGTTAGGAAAAGCCACCGGGAGTGACACCTGGGAAGTTATAGCCAAAGTGGTGATATTCATTTCGGTCGAATTTGTAGTCTCTCCTGAGCCCTCCTGTACCCCACTACTCACTTGGCTAAGCACCGCAGACAAGGTTCCCAGTGAGACCCTACTGTTCTGTAAGGGGTCCTCCCAATTGGTCAAATTGTTGCGCTGTAAGCGAATACAACGGGTTCTCAAGAAACTGAAGCAGAAAGTTCCCGTGATATTAACACGAGAAAGGTTGAAAACCTGTTCCCCGTCTCCTCTAGGGGAGACACAAGGGGCAGACATCTCACATGAAGTAGAAAAAAGAGTGGGGAGGACACTAGAATTTTTATGGACCGGCATCGGCATCGGCCATGTCCGAGTTACCGCCCACCACTGCATCGGTAACATCTGGACCATCATCGTCTGTGACAGGGCCAGGATACTCAGCAGAATGAAGGGTCTCATCATTGGACTCTTGTAGGGTCCCCCGTTGTTGGTCAGTTGTCTTCGAGACTTTTCTCGTTAGCCGTTCAGGGATCCACACCGGCTCCGTTCGGTCCTGTGGGAAAACACAAACAGAACCTCGTGCCCATGCCAGCACGGGATCAGGCCCATACCATTGTCCAGAAAGTACATCTTTCCACTTAACATACCCAAAATTCGGGGCAGAGGGCGAACAATGCCTATCTGCAGCAGAGCGCCCTTGAATGTCCAGATTTAAAAAATTGATAGTAAATAGAGCCAGGGAGAGGAGTGGCCTAAGCCAATTCCCCCTTTTTGTTTTAGTAACATCTCTTTTAGAGTCTTATGAGCGCGCTTTACAATGCCCTGGCCTTGTGGATTGTAAGGTAAACCATGGACAAGTTGGATACCCATCTTGCTGCAAAAGGAAGAAAATTGTCGCCCAGTATATGCTGGACCATTGTCCGTCTTAATGGACTGTGGTAATCCCC